GGCTAGCCAGCGACTTACCCACTTTGCCACCATGCCTCCTACAAAATAAGAAAGGAATGTGGGCATGCCGATTTCTTGTCGTTGCTGGTTGCAACGATCGTTCTGACGCAACATGCATGATATATGTGTTTTATGATTTCCACTGAAAATCAAGATTATTATTTTATGATAAATTTTAGCACTTACGTGGGTGCTACTAATCACCAACAAGTAAAAACAGGGGCGTATTTTTATCAATAGCCCCCAGAGTATTACAAAAAGCGTTGTGAAAAGATATTCATATTCTACTTTGGTCTGTAATAATAATGTGTATTATTAGAATAGTGGGTATTTTAAAGTATGATTGATTCCAATATTCGCTGTGCGTTATGTATAGGATAAAGCACGAGACTTGAGGTTATGCTGGGGTAAGAAAGACTGAAGAAAAATAACCCGAGAAAAAGAAAAACCGAGGCCGGTAGATTTTACTTTCGAGGTTTTTTTTATGAAGTCATTCTTCCCCAGCGTAACCAAAGTCGGGGACTTTACTTGCTTATAAACCGTCTATGTTGTCATGTACGTAAAATGAGAATATCCCAGAATTACAGTAAGAAAACCCTTTTATCATGCTTTCTAATGGAGAAAAAAAACCCACCCTGCCTTGGAAGAATAACCCGATACATGTTTGTTTAAAGATAAACTTTCAGAAAAATAACCCCAAATTGCTCTATATATTCAGACCACAAGTTATTCCGGGCATCGAATATACCCCAAGGATCAAAGAGATTTATAATAAGTTATAATTCACGCTTATCCTGTGTATGCGTCATTGAGTTTAATCTATAAGAGTACTGTGCATTATTAGAGTTATTTGATTATAATACACACTTACTATGGTCCGTTAGAATAATGTGTATTATTAGAATTATATGTATTCACTGTGCGTTATTAGCTTATAATATACACTTGTCTATAACAATAATGTGTATTATAACAACTATGATCTTACTATGGACCAGGAACTGGCCGTTGTTGGATGAAAATCAAAAATCTAATTAACCAAATCGACGCAGAAATGTTCAAAGAAGAAGCATGCCAAGTTTCATGTCGATCGGACATAAATTGACGGAGCCTCAGGCTTTTTCGAAGAGCGTCATTCCAAGAAGGAAAAGATGAGTAGCGGTTAGCGATCAGTTGCTGGTCCAAAAAATAAAGTGTATTAGTAAAATAATGTGTATTATCAAAATAATGTGCATTATCAAAATAATGTGCATTATTAAAATAATGTGTATTATCAAAATAATGTGCATTATCAAAATGACGTGTATTATTAAAATAACGTGTATTATTAAAATAATGTGTATTATTAAAATAACGTGTATTATTAAAATAATGTGTATTTTATGGTACTGGGGTATATAAATATTCACTGTGCGTTATAGCAGATAGGATATAATATACACTTCCAATGTTTATTATTATAATAGTGTGTACTTTAAATAATGGGGTATATGAATATTTACTTTGCGTTATTAAGTTATAATTCACACCTCTTTGATCTGTAAGAATAATGTTTATTATTAGAATCGTGTGTATTTTAAAGTCTGGGATATATGAATATTCACTGTGCGTTATTAAGTTATAATTCACACTATGATACAGCATTGAGATGTATTGGTAAAGATATGTTGTTTATGACTGTAGAATATAGATGTCTGTTCGCCTTTATTTCAAACCTTGTAGGAGGACAGCTAAGCCAGTTGTAGGAAGATATTTATGATATTTTTCAAATCCATCATATTTTAAAAACACTGGTTTTATATCATATTATCAATATCAAAATAGATTGTGAAATCACGGGCGAAGGGGCCTTTAGAAGTGGGAGGAAACCGGAGGACCCGGAGAAAACCCACAGGATTGGACAGCGACCCTACTCCTTGTCACGTACAACCGGGGATACGAAACCACGTCAGTTGACTCAATGACAGGCCTTATGATATAGCGCGAAATGACCTCGATTGTGTCTAATGGACGTTAAGCCCCATCTCTCTCTCGCACAATATGAAGGACTAGGCACTGTTCCGTGCCAGGCCCTCCCTCCTGCACAGGAGAGCCGGAACCCGGGTACCAGGGTATACAAATGGTACCCTGCCCTTTTCTGGGGTATGCATGTATACACATGCCCTTATGATGAAAGTTTTCAACCTTTTTACTAGTCTATTCATTTTTAAATGATAGATATGTAAGAATCGTGTCTCTAAATCTACTGTCTCGTTCAAAAAGCTTATTCTATTTTCTTGATGAAGATTGGTGTATTATGAAATGAATTGCTCATGATACGAAAATTGTGAATAATCAGGCTTTTGTCACTTTCATTATCATGTATTTTAAAGGGTTTTATGTTGGAATTTGGAATGCTAGAGGCGCTCTAAACAGCGTTCTCGGAATTCGGAAATTTCAAAATTTTCTAGAGGCCGGGGGGAGAGAACCCACCCGGAACCCACTATCTTTTGGTACCCTGGCCCTCGCGCCACTGCTCCGGCAACACTTCTGAAACCTTGTTGAAACTTTGCAGTGAAATAAACCAGTGTATTTGTTATCCATAATGTGTATTTTTCTTCGGATAGGACGAAAAACCGAGGTCCGTAAGAGAACCCTTGACAGTTGGAATTCGATATAAGAGTAGACTAGAACCGCTGTCTGGGCAAAATGTCCCTCATAGCACGGGGGGTTGGATGTTCGAATGGTTAGCACGTGCGCGCTGTATCATAAAGCCTGTCACTGAGTCAACTGGCGTGGTTTGGAATCCCCGGTTGTACGTGACAAGGAGTAGGGTCGCCTGTCCAACCTCGTGGGTTTTCTCCGGGTCCTCCGGTTTCCTCCCACTGCTAAAGACCCCTACGCGCATGCGAATTATTGAAATAAAATTGAACCATGTGTTAGTCCCGAAATGACCTAGTTTGTGTCGAGTGGACTTTAAAACCCCATTTCTCTCTCTCTCTCTCTCTCTCTCTCATTAGCCCATGCAGTCGGACGTTAAACCCGTTTCATTTCATCAAAACGAATAGACATATTTCCCACGTCAACATGAGATTTAAAAATGATGACATCAAAGTAAACGTAATCAATCTTTCATTCATCATTTCAATAAAGCAGAACACAATTCCATATCGGTCGGCAGCTACACAAACAAACACGTGCAATCTACATATCAATAAATAAAAATAATTTCAATACAGTTGACAATATCGTATAACCTCTAGTAAATATATATATCTCAATCAAACTATATTTCTCATTTGAAATATTCTATAAAGGAATCTCCAATGTTTTTCGTCCCTCAGTCAGCTGGAAGTGTGTAAGAGCACTGGGTGTAAAGAAACACTATATATATTTTCCCAGGAATTATCAAGGCCAAAACCAGGATACATTTAAATATTCAAACATTATTCGTATCGTATAGTGTTATATATATGAAGGAAAATGGAAATGAAATTGATGTGAAAGGGGTTTAATGTCCTACTGTTCTGCTTCTACAATGAAGACGAGCATATGCCAGTTCGAGGGAAATTTTGCCCGGGAAGCGGCACTATGGCTACTATTATATCAAATTCCAACTGCTAAGGGATATTTTCCGTACACGCCAATGTATACACGGGATCTCGTTTTTTTGTTTTTGTTCCATCCGAATAACTAGACGGCTATCCTTGTCAGGTCCTCCCTGCACTACTGACAAGGGGAAACCATGTCGGAAAAAATTGGATTATTTAATAATCAATAAACGGACCCATTTAAAATATATGCAATAATTATATCATGTAATATAAGCACGTGCATATAACCCCCATGACGTACTATTATATATAGTGCATTTTATCTTCGATCTATCGCAGTGTGGATGAAAAAAAAGTAGTTCTTTGTTTATCAGTATGACGTTCTGACCTGTTAACGCAGAGCATACAATATTGTCATACTGGCTATATCCGCTGTGTATAGCCTTCAATCTTAACTACTACGCTATAAAATCACAAACAACTCGAAACCCAACCAAATCAAATAATTTATTCAGATAATATACACAAAAATTGATCGTATAACTAGCTCTCTCTCGAGCAAAATGTTCCACATTGTAAGCGAGGTAATGGCAATCGCTATCAAGAATTATCTTCAACGCAAATTTTTCAGCCATAGCGAATATATAACAGTTTTTACAAGCTGCTAGCGGGCTCTCTAGAGCAAATCCGTCTATTTTCGCCTGTTTTCAGTCACGAACGCGGCTGTCAGTTCGAGTTCATGTCTAATTAGAGGTTGCTTCCCCTGTTTCCTTTTTCACCGTAGTCGACCTTTCCTCGTGCCTTCTACAAACTAACGCATTCGATGCAATCGTTATAATATTACGAGGGAAGGCGCTTTATAACGGGAATAGCCAGAATTTCTTTAAACATTTACCACTAAAAACCTATTAAAATGAATATTTTCATTTAACATTTTTCTAAATCTAGATATAATAAATTTTGCGCGAACTAAGTTTTGAACCAAAAATATGAAATTCTGGCTCAGTTGCTCCCTCACGCCTGGCGTCAAGAAAAAATGAATAACAACAATTGCGTGCCCAATAATCTAAGACTGGTCGCTCGGTTGACGTCAGTACGAAAGCCCTTTGGCAAATGTTCGCCGGTAAAACAACCTCCCCTTTGTCATGTTTATTTTGAGATTTAAATACCTTATAAGGACCAAATGGTCCCGAATTTAGGTTCATTAGTTGGAGAAAAATGCAGTCTAAAATGCATTTTTTATTTGCGCATTTTCCTATCTTTTAACATACATTTCTATATAAATATCTATTAAATGTTGCTCCGGAGGAGGTGAAACTGCCAGCTAATTGAAAGGACAGAATTGAAAAGAATGCCTGAGACGCCTCACGAACCGAGAACTGTGTCCATCCGCTCAGTAGAGGGCCACTAGAAAAGAATTCCAAAGTACTTTACAGCGGATGCTGCGTGCCAAAACCACGCGCTTTAGTGTACCATATTATACATGTCGATCATGGAATATGTGACTGATGTCAGATGAAACTTTGGGACTGTATATTTAGTTTTTGCCCGGAAAACGCCAATGCGCATGAATATAGGGCCGAAATGTTGAGATATTCCCGCTTATTGATGTGTACCATATAATAGCCGTGTGTATGATAAGGCCATGCTTCCATCCGACTAACTTTCCCTGACTTAATCTTTAGCTCATTATCAAAACACGTGTGTACATAATCTTTGGATGGGACATTGGTGAATTGGAGGACATTGTTATTTGTATATGTAGTGATCGACTGTTTTCCTGACTGGGATTTCACAGATCCAGGGTGTGTTGTTGCATTATGCCCGATCAACTCGGCTTCGTAAACAAAAAATCTAGTAGAAAACGACGAACTGAGTCACCGTGGGTTGTTGCCATACATCGGTGAGTATAAATATAGAATGGAAACAGGCACTGCTGAAGATGGAGACGAACGAATGAAATCAAACAACAAACTTCGCTCTCAAAATCAGAGTGATACAAGCAACACAATGGATTCTTTCCAAGATGGAGGCCAACACAACGCGAATTCGGAGTCCACCGACTATTCAATGCAGATGGGAAGTAGTCATATGAACTCAGATATGAATAATTTTCCTCCTAATTCGACAGATCAAAGTATGAATTCTGATAATTTTCATCGGATGAATGATTCCATGCATTTGAATCCGATGCAGCCGTACAACTCGTACTCACGAAGTGGTTTCAATAACATGAATACTTCAGACCATCATGGCGTTCTGAACACAGGAGCAGACTTCAACAACCAGTCTTCTCAGTTTCCTTACTCACAAGGAGGTATTAGACCAGGTTACCCCACTATGGGTAAGCCAGGTATGAGTCCCCCACGACCTGGGATGGTTCCCCCTGGCATGAACATGATGTCGCCTCCGGGATATAATCATCCCCCACAAAGAATGATGTCGGGTCAAAGTGTATCGCAACAAACCGGGCCGACCCCTACTCTAAACCAACTCTTACAGACTTCAAACACTAATCCCAGATTTCCAAATAATTACGACTATCCGCCAGGATCCAAACCCGGAACGGAAATGGGTGGCGGACCAGGAAACATGCCGTACAACATGCAGCAAGGTTGGAACCCAAGTCAAGGCCGTGGGATGCCCTCTTTTCCTCAGGGGCATATGTCAGGAAATTCACCTTACAGAAATCAAGTAAGTACTACTATAATTTGATTAAAATGTTTGTAATGGAATGAAAATCAATTATTATTGACATCTTAGTTTTCTGTTCTCTGAGACTGACTTTGAACATTGTGTTGACAGTGACAGTACCGTCAAATAATCACAAAATCTTCAACTGAGAAAATGGCTTCAGAGAAAACTTGATAAAGAGGGAGTCAGAAACCATGAAAGATTAGTTCTACCCAATGATATTTAAATTTGGAGGCAAAACCATATCCCTCATCTCAGCTGTGCAGTGTTCAATTTGTGACATTCTGATTGGATGATAACATCTGTGTTTTAATCAATTAATCATTTTAGCGTAATAACACCAGTTTGGTTTCCATATTGACCTATCGCGTTTTATCCTGTATATTTCATTGATCTTATTTTCCTCCTGGCTTCCTGTGGTTACCATGACGATTATAAACTATAGATTTGCTGGGATAGATTCAGTGACTGTTTTGTAACACGGCATGGCTTTTCGAAAATAAAAAAAAGAAAAATGATCAATGCACTTTCCTGACTCGCTATTTCTTTTCTCATATTATTTATTAATGACCTTATATAGATTTAAGACATTTTATTTTTACAATTGTCTTGTCGACTTTGTCCATGTTTACATTTTTGGTGAAAAATCAACAAATGTGATCATTTATTTGAGGACCTACTGAAGTTGACTGGATTGTAATTTATTTACATTTTATTTGGTTTTTTATTTGTTAATGTATTTTTAAATGTTTATTTCTTTCGTATCTAAAATAACATCGTAAAATGGTTTGTTCAAGGGTATTAATTTATTTATTTCGTGCAGGATTTTGTGGTCAAATCCAGTGTTTGTATTTTTGTCTGACATATCTTGATCAAAATTTAATCCTTGAGTGGTATTTAGCTAATTAAGCAGAATCAAAGCACAACGTGTTTCGAGAAGTTTTCTCTTAACATTTGTTTTCAAGCACAAGGTGTATGTACCTGGTGATGTTTTTCCATATAAAATTTGTTTATTACCTAAACGGATAAAATGACGTCAATCAAAATATTTTTTAAAGTATTAGAAATAGTGAAGGGGATGCAGGCGTATAGCAATTACTGTTTATATAGTTAGGAAATGACGGGCAGGAGGGATTGTATAGTAACTACTGTATGCGTGCCGTCATTGACATGTACGTAGAGTGCTCAGAGATACTAATTTTTACAAATGCCATATAGTAAAACAAAATGTTTTATTTCATTTTTCTTACTACCCTAATTTACCCCACCAACCCTAATTAATTCTGTTATTCTGGGGATAATTTTGAATATTAATGGTAAATTAACAACCACTCAACATAAACTAGGTAATATCGGGACTAACATATAAAGTTTTTGATTTTAATAATTCACACTTACATGAGAATCTTCAACTAAGGAAGGCAACCAATCTCAGAGAAATGCCACAAGGTTTGACAGGCAAACCTACTCCTTGTTACGGACAGACTTGGTATCCAAACCATGCCACTTGACTCAATGACAGACCTTATGATCTAAAGCGACCGTCCAACCCAACTCAACACAATAAGAAGTTAAAACATGACAAATTTTTGCAAATCTGTTTCTGTGGAAATCGACCCATAAACTAAAATTAGATCTGAATTTTGTGCAAAAAATAGTAATTCATATTTATTCATAATAAGAAAAGTGACTAATGATGGCTTATGGAAATGAAATGAAATGGGGTTTAACATCCTACTGTTTGGCTATGGCAGGGCTAATGAAGACGGGCGTATGTCATATAGTGGGCTATCATGAAAATTTTGCCCAGACAACGATGCTACAGCCTACTCAATATATATCAAATTCCAACTGCCAAGGGTTCTTTTACGTGACACCAATTTGTACACAAGTCCGCAGTTTTTCATCGCATCCAAATTATCTAATGGCTTTTGGTCCTTACTGTAGGAAGTGAAGTGTTGTAATCGGAGGCCTGGCCCGCCCACTGTCAGTTTTTGGGTCTTGGTTTTTAACAGGAAATAATTTACTGCAAAACTGTGAAAAGGGGAAAAGTGAGAAAATCAAGTTGGATGTCAACCCAACCCAAAGTAGCCTTTTGATATCTATTTATTTCCGTAATTCGCTGAAGTGATAAGGTTGTTGTTGTTCTTAGTGTTTAATGTCCGCTTCCACCAAAGGTGATATCGCAGACAAGTTGTCTTATTTTTTTTAATTTTAATTATCTTATCGCATGCCCAGGGGTCTTTTCTGTGGGAGGAAACCGGAGTACATACCTGGAGTAAACCCACAAGTTTGAGAAGGCGCCCCTATCTCCAAGCCACATACACTCACACCAGGGATCGAAACCACAGCCGCAAACCAGAGGTGAATGGCCAGCTAGAGGTCAAAGCGCGGCACTCTAGACCACTAGGCCATCCCAACCCCAAGGTCCTTAGCAACGTGAGAAATCTGGACGACGCAGCGAAAAATCCATGTGGATAATAGTCAAACAATCGAGACCACACCCATTCTCAATCACTCGGCCACTGAACCTGCCTGCGACTATAGTAAGAACATTCAATTCTTCATTTTGTGAATATAGCCGATATTCCTATTCAAAATTCAACTTTCACAACATTTGAGTTTGTGAGGGATTCAAAGTCAAGAGAAATGGGGTTTAATATCCATGGCAAAGTAGGTCATTTCAGGACTAACATCGGTTTCAATTTGATTTCATTAATTCGCTTGCGTGTATGGGTCTTTAGCAGTGGGAGGAAACCGGAGGACCTGTTGAAAACCCAAGGGGTTAGAAAGGTGACCCTGCTCCTTGTCATGTACAACCGGGGAATCGAAAACTGCCACTCGCCTCAAGGACAGACCTTATGATACAGCGAACACGCGCTAACCATTCGGATATCCCCAGTGTTCAGACACTGGTTGAACACATTTGGTCCCTGATGCTATTATCACTTTAACCATTTTTAAAAAAAGGGCAAAATTATAAATTTAATTATTAATTTAGAATTCGGAATTGAAAGGCCAGACTACAAAAAAAAAACCTCACAAAAAATACATTTGAAATGAATGTTTTTTGTTTAAAGTAACTCCATATCATCCAAGGTCTTTGACGTTGAAAACACGAATTATTTGTCAATTTAAATCAACATTGATATTATCTTTCCGTTAAAAGATATGCTTCTGATATCCAATATTTAAGAAAAAATAAACATTTTACCATTTTATCTGGAGAGCATGCGCAAAAAATACTATCAGTGTAGACTGGAATAACCAGACACTAGAGACTGCCATTCGATTAAGTCTTCTGGTGTATTTCGCCGAACATAAGCGACTTGAAATTAGTTTATATACATTCATGTTACAATCATTATTATATGCGTTGCGACCCATTTGTGACAATTTCTAGGTTCCAAATATTAGCGATTTAGTTCCTAGTTTAAAGGGCTTGATACTTTGTCCTAACTACAAATGGGTTGATGTGCATAATGTAATTCTTTTGAAGATTTATTTTGTGTTCCAAAGCCCGGTCTACAGTGTAAGATGGGGGTATGTGTGACCGAATGTTTAACACACGTGTGCGTTTGATCACAAAGTCTGTCATTGAGTTAAGTCAAGTGGTTTTGATTCTCAGCTTGTACAAGACAAGAAGTAGGGTCGTCTGTGCACCCTCGTGGGTTTTCTCTGGTTCCTACTGTTTCTTTCACTGCTAAAGACCCCCTAAGAAGATGCAAATTACTAAAATAAAATTGAACCATATTAGTCACGAAATGACCTAGTTTGTCAGAGTGGATCTTAAACCCCTAAGATGCCCCATGTACTGCTAGGACTTGAATTAAGAGTAGGCTATAGCGTTGCTGTTAAAGCAAGATTTTCCATAGTACACTGTAATGCGTATACCTGTGTTCATTGAGGCAGAAAACTGACAGGGAAATATTGGAAATACTAGTAGACTGTAGCAGTAGCACTCATTGGTGTAGAAAGGTAGAACGTAGGTGGTTGGATGGTCTAGAACAGTGGCTCGTACACCTTGAACTTTCATAATATTTTCTTGTACCCCCTGTTTAAAATGACTTATGGAAATAAATGAAATGATAATAATGGATACAATGTAAGTTTATTTATACAATGCGTTGAATACATATAAATATACTGAATACTGGTACATAAATAGTATTGAATTTGACACCGTATCTTGTGCCCCCTGCTTTGATGCTTCATACCCCCAGAGGTTACACATCCCCCTGCGTGCACATGAAATCACAAGGCCAGTCATTGAGTCAATTGGCATGGTTTCGAATCACTGGTTGGAAGTGACAATGAATAGGTATAGCATTGCCTGTCTGACCTTATGGGTATTCTCCAGGTCCTCCTGTTTCCTCCTCCCATCGCGCAAATGATTTATTGAAATAAAATTGAACTACATGTTGGTCTCAAAATGACCTAGTTTGTTTCTCGCTCTCGGAAGATTTGTTTCTCATCCCAGTGAAAAGTTGTCAGATTATAGGAAATGAAACTAGATATTTTCACGTTTATAAAATGAGGTTATTGTCACAGTACACGTTATGTATAGATTATATCTAGAGATGGCTTCACTGGTAGTGAATCTTTTAAAACACTGGTTATTTTGGACCTAAAAACACATTATTTGGGACTGATCAGACAAGTTATTTTACCGTGACTTATAATAGACTAGAAATATTAGACACTACATACATGTAGGACAGGGTGGTAGTATTCACGAGTACTTGATTATCGGGGGGGGGGGGGGCGCTGTATCATAAGGTCTGTCATTGAGTCAACTGGAGTGGTTTCGATTCCCTGGTTGTACGTGACAGGGTCGACTGTCCAACCTTGTGGGTTTTCTCCAGGTCCCTCCTACTACTAAAGACCCTATATGCAAGCGAATTATTGAAAGAAAATTGAACCATATGTTAGTCCCGAAATTACTTAGTTTGTGTCCAGTGGCCCTTACCTCTCTCTCTCTCCTATCCAGTCACATTATA